CTACGAGGAAGTATTGCTCATAAGCCTTTCCTAATCTATCTCATAATATTACTGAATGAATTCTCGATGAAAATATCGCTAATTCTAATGTAAATATCTTTTGTATTAATAATATATATAACTTAAACTCTTGATTAAATTATCTATGTTGAGAACAATTATTAATTATATATGAGAAACAAGAATTAGGTATTTTAGGTCCCTAAATTTGTCGTGCCTTTTTAAAAAAAAAGTAATACTTAATAGACATAGGTTAAAAAAAATTTAAAAAATATCGAGTATCATTTTTAGAAATATAAACAATTTATATAATAGGAAGAATTACTGTAAGAAATTTGACACAACTTGAGTTTATGTTTCAAAAAAAATTTAAATAGATTAATTATTATATACTTCACAAAAAAGTAAAGTTTAAGGTCTCTATTCAATTTTGGCATTAGGCACTAATGTGTTCGATGACAGAGTCAGAATTTGAATAAAGGAGTGTCAGAATATAAATAAGTAAAATCGTATAAAAGCTAAGGAGCGTCAATTTATATTATATTCATAAAAAAATAATTTTATCTAACTATGCAATATAATTTTTCGATAAAAAGATGTTGAATATGTTTGAGTCGCCACTCCCTAGACCCTACTTGTGGAAATTATTATTGTCCGGCTACACCCCACCCTCCAAACATGGTTACAAATAAAAGCATGGTCATAGTATATTACTCCATATATATCCTTCATTTTCAACACGCCAATAACATGGCTAAAAAGATATTCTTGATTTTGGTAAGTATATACTGTTTGGCTTGACAATGATTTAAATATATATATAGTGGCAAATATATCCCCAGACTATCATAAATGGTATACAGATACCCTCCATCATATTTTTGGCACATTGGTGCTCTTGCCGTCCAAAAATTAGAGTGTATATGCCCTTCACTCTAACAGAAGATCAAATACGAACACGTGGCGCAATCGAGTAAATGACATAAATAGTCCCTCAACTATAGAAGTAGGTCTAAAATGGTCCTTGAACTATACACTTAACGAATTTAGTCCTTTAACTATTCAAAAATTTGTCAGCTTTGGTCCCTTAACTATACACTTATCGATTTTAGTCCCTTAACTATAAATTTACCAATTTTAGTCCTATAAGTATTCACAAACTTATCAAGTTTGGTCTTTGTCCATTTTTTTAAATACAAATAGCTTTGGTTTTTAATACGCACCATTCTAAACTTTGATAGTTTTTGTTCGAGAAACTTATCATGCATCATGCTAATCAATGCGAATTTTATTTAATTTACTCAAATTTCTTTACGTAAAATAAAATGAATAGAATAATAAAATTGACCTATTTAAAAAAAAAGTTTAAAAAATTGCAAATCTACCATTTTATAAATTACCATTTCTGAAAAATTAAACAAATTCCGTTCAATGAAATCGTTGGAGTACAAACTTTGGATTTAA